GGTGTCCCTGGCAGGTGGTGGAGGCGCAGTTCGTGCTGTCCTTCGTGCACCGCTTCCTGGAGCGTGGCACCGTCACCTACTTTGCCTTCTGCTACCCCTTCTCCTACACGGAGTGCCAGGACATGCTCAAAGAGCTGGATCGCCGCTACCAGGACTGCAGGCACATGTCCCCCAGCAGGTGTGCCCCCCACTTTCTCCTTCCTGGCCTTTGTCCCGCCTTCCTGGCCCTCACAGCTTTCCTGGGCTGTGCCTGCTTGGGGTTTTTCCCCTGGGAAAGCTCTGTCTGCAGCAGGAGGGTCTCTGTGCCCTCTCCAGAGCTGCCTGGCCTGTGCTCCTCTGTGCCCCAGCTCTGCACAAGCAGCTTGCCCTGAGCTACCCACGGGATTCCAGAGGATCCCTATTGTTCTGGAGCCATCCCTCTTGCCAGAATGGGTCACCTCCTGGTGGGATGAGTCCCTCAGTGCCCTGTCCCTCCTGCCAGAATGGGTCACCTCCCTGCTGGGATGAGTCCCTCAGTGCCCTGTCCCTCCTGCTGGCAGGCATTATCTCCCCTATGGGATGACCTGACCTTCTGTGCCAGTCTGGCTGTGCCCGAGCTGATCCTCCACTGCTGCCACAGCTGGGGTTTGTTTGGGGAGGGCAAACCCAGCCCTGGGCCCCCCTCCTCACCCTGAAGGAAGGGCTGCTTGTGCTCCCAGCAGGCTCCGAGGGTGTCCAGCAGCAAACAGCCCAGATGTGGGGTGCTCCTTGTGGGGCTGGGGCTGCTGTGAGTGTGGGCAGCATTCCTGCCCAGCTGGGAGCCCCTGGGGCTGGCTGAGATCCCCTCTCCCCCCCAGCCCCCTGGACTCGGTCTATTACCACCGGGAGCTGCTGTGCCACTCTCTGGACAAGCTGCGTGTGGACCTGCTGACCATCACCTCGTGCCATGGCATGCAGGAGAAGCGGGAGCCCCGGCTGGACAAGCTTTTCCCAGACACCAGCACACCCCGGCCTCACTGCTTCACTGGAAAGAGGGTGAGACACCACGCTGGGCTGGGCTGGGGGCCAGCTGCCCCTGTGGTGACACCTTTCTGCAGCCCCCATGGCTCTGACCACAATGGCGTTATGGCCCCAAGGGCTGGAGCGTCTGGGCAGAGGTTGTGGAGCAAAGTCTGTGAGACCCTTTGCTTTTGGGGTATCCTAGGGCAGGCAGGACACCCCCTCAGCCCGGCTGTTTGTCCCCAGGTGTTTTTCCTCAGCAGCAGAGTCCACCCAGGAGAAACCCCCTCCAGCTTTGTCTTCAATGGCTTCCTGGACTTCATCCTGCGGGAGAAGGACCCCCGTGCGCAGATGCTGCGGCGCATGTTCGTGTTCAAGCTGATCCCCATGCTGAACCCCGACGGGGTGCTGCGGGGCCACTACCGGTGAGTGCCAGCCTGCTCGGGCCTTCATGGGGCTGGAAACTTCCTCCCTGACCCCTGAGTCAAACCATTCCCCCAGGAAAAGGAGCAGGAATGGTTTATTTGGGTATTGGTTGGTAGATGTGAGCAAAACCCTCCCTGACCCCTGAGTCAAACCATTCCCCCAGGAAAAGGAGCAGGAATGGTTTGTTTCGGTATTGGTTGGTAGATGTGAGCAAAACCCTCCCTGAGCACTGAGGCCAACTGTTCCCCCAAGGAAAAGGAGCAGGAATGGTTTATTTGGGTATTGGTTGGTAGATGTGAGCCAAAGGGGAGTGTCCTTCACTGATGGTGTAGATGTGGAAGAGGCTGTGAGCTTGCTGAGGAAGGGATCTCAGAAAGCTGATTCTATGGGTTTTGTAATATTTATTAAATCATGGAATCCTGGACTCACTTGGGTTGGAAAAGCCCTGTGAGACTGTGGAGTCCAACCACCCAGTACTGCCCAGCTGACCCTGGTCCCCAAGTGCCACAGCCACAGGGCTTTTAAACTCCTCCAGTGATGGGGAATCCACCCTTGCCCAGGGCAGCCAGTGCTAGGGCAGGACAGCCCTTACCATGAAGAAAGTGTTCCCCATATCCAACCTAAACTTTCCCTGGTTCAAGTCAAGGCTCTTCCCTCTGGTCCTGTCCCTTGTTCTCTGGGAGCAGAACCTGGCCCTTCCACATAGCTCCATTCTCCTGTCAGGGAGTTGCAGGGAGTGACAAGGTCCCCCCAGAGCCCCCTTTTCTCCAGGCTGAGCCCCTTTCCCAGCTCCCTCAGCCTCTCCTGGTGCTCCAGCCCCTTCCTGGTTGCTGTCTCTGGGGAGGATTGTGCAGGACTCTGCCACACTGTGCAGTGTCACTGCTCTGGCAGCTCCTGGCCATTGGTCTGGTCATTGTTGGCATTTTTAGGCAGAGCCCAGAGCCCTCAGCGCTCCAAGGCGAGCTCAGCTCTTGCCAGGGTGTGATACCCTGGGGTGGGGAGGCCTTCCCTGGTCTAGGGAGATGCAAGAAGCTTCCCTCAAAGAGCTGTTAGACCCCATTGGCTCCTTCCCCTGTTCCTATGTTCCTGAGCCAGTCCTTCCCTATTCCCTGATCGTCCTGTACCTTTGTACTGCCCCAAGACCAGGGCCAGCCCCCAGGCCCCTGTAGAGGGAAACTGAGCCTCTGTGTGTGTGTGGGTGCTGGGACCTGAACATCTCACCAGACAGCTGAATCAAACATCTGTGGATCCTATGCAGAGGCCCTTTTGCTCCCTTACCCTGGCCTGTGCCAGCAGCCCCAGCTGCTGCCCCAGTGCCCTGGCAGCGCTCAGGTGTGTGTCTGCCTCTCCCGCAGCACCGACTCGCGCGGGGTGAACCTGAACCGGCAGTACCTGCACCCCGACGCCGAGCTGCACCCCGCCGTGTACGGCGCCAAGGCCGTCCTGCTCTACCACCACGTGCACAGCCGCGTCCTGCCCGGCTCCCCGGACTGGAGGACGTTTGTCTCCCCGCTCAGCACCAGCTCGCTGAGCCTGAAATCCCCCAACTGCCCCGTGCCGGCCGCGGAGGCCCCGTTATCGGAGCTGGACAAAAGCAACAACCTCCGCAACTGCCCCGGCTCGTGGCGGGCCGGCAGCCGCTCCTGCCCGGCTGAGGGCAGCCCCAGGGCGCTGGGCCAGGATTCCCAGGTGTCAGACAGCTCCGAGCGAGCCGCCTGCATCCTGCCATCGAGCCCCGGCAGCGAGCGCTGTGAGGAGAGGCCCTTGGTGCCCGCCCCGGCCGCCGTGCCCGAAGCTGAGCCCGCACAGCCCGCAGAGCCCATCGCGCCCCGGGACAGTGGCCTCGCCTACTACGTGGACCTGCACGGGCACGCCTCCAAGCGCGGCTGCTTCATGTACGGCAACTGCTTCAGCGACGAGAACGACCAGGTGAGGGCACAGCCCAAACCCGGGGCTGCTGCGGCCGCTGGAGCCTCCTGCTGCTCTGCCCAGGGGCCCCAGTGCTCCTGCTGCTGCGAGAGGGGCGTGGAATCCCTTCACAGTTCCTTCCTTTTCCTCCTCCTTTCCTTCTTTCCTTCCTTCCTCCTCCTTTCTTCCTCCTCCCCTCTGTCCTCCCCCAGTGTGGTGACCAGGGCAGCAGGAGGTCTCAGATTCCCCCTGGGAGCTGGTGAGGGTCAGCAGGGTGTGCTCCCAGCTGGCTGTCAGGAGAGCCCATTGAGGGGTGGGCAGCATGCCCTTGAAGTGTGGGTCTCCCCCAGCCAGGTTTCATCAGCTCTTGGAGATCTGTGTCACACCTGAGATAGCTCAGCTACCTCAGAAGGCATAAAGTCAGTAGGATGGCTTCTGTGGTGGTGTTGGAAACAAAAATGTTTTCATAAAAGGCAAAATAACAAAACTCTTTATAGAGAAAAACCGAGCCAGGTACAAGAGGTTCTTGCCCCTAGTAAAACACCTCACAAAAGTGATTGGTTTCTATGTTCTCTTCTTTTTCTATTGCTCAGGTATGACTTTTTGGCTCCTGTCCAATTGTCTGTCCTTAAGTTTGAGGTGAGGTGCCCCAGGTCGTATGAGGTGTCTTTTCACCTAATTGAGGAGAGAAACTTGTGGGTTTCTTTTCTTTTTAAGGGGACAAAGGACAGTTTTGTCACTCCATCAACAGGGGGCACATTCCTTTATACCCTGGGCAGAGCTGGAGCTGGGCAGAGCGGGCCCTGGTGCCACCCCGTGCTCAGCACCGCTCCCACTGGAGCAGGATGAGCAGCCAGGGCCCCCGCTCAGCCCTGCTGCTCCCTGCCCCCTGCAGGTGGAGAACATGCTGTTCCCCAAGCTCATCTCCCTCAACTCCCCTTACTTCGACTTCACGGGCTGCAACTTCTCGGAGAAGAACATGTACGCGCGGGACAAGCGCGACGGGCAGTCCAAGGAGGGCAGCGGCCGCGTGGCCATCTACAAGGCCCTGGGCATCATCCACAGGTAGGGCACAGAGCGGGTGGGGATGTGGGCAAAGGGGACACAGTTCCGTGGGACTGACACCTGCGTGGCCCCAGGGCGGTCAGCAGAGGCTGGGCCTGGCTGGGCCGTGTTCCTGAGGTGCAGGCTCAGCCAGGCTCCTTTCCTTCCTGTTCCAACCCACCCCTCTGCAGCTGCTCTGGCTGCTTCTCCCTGTTCTTACTCAGCTTTCTGAGGGCAATTCTCCTCTTTCCTCTGGACATCCCTCTGGCTGTCCTGAATTCCAACAGTTCCTGGCTATATTGAGCTGTAATTAAGTAGAACTGCAGTGGGCACAGCATCCCCATGGCTGTGTGTGAGATTCCATCCTCAGCCCATCATTGATCCCGTGAGCTGGGGATGCCTGTGATCCATCCCTCTCCCACAGGGGATGGGATATTCCTGGGAACATCCCACGGGGGTGAGGCAGCCAGAGCCACAGAGCAGAGGCTCTCTGAGTTTCCTCAGCGCTTGCTGTGTGCTCAGCTGCTGCCTTGTGCCCACTGCAGCCCCACAGGAGCGCACACACACGTGGGCTTTGGGCTTGGCTCACTGGGGAGCTTTGCTCTGTGACTGACCTGATCCAACAGCAACATCCCAAAATGTGCTGGGAGTGCTCCCAGTGCTCGTGTGGGCCCCAGGCAGACTGGGCCAGAGCTGCTCAGGTTTTGTGCCGTGGGACAGATGGGACCCTTGGGACAGATGGGAGCCATCCCAGCTGGCAGCTCCTAGCCCACAGTTCTCCATCCCTCCTCCTCCTCCAGGAGGAAGTGCTCCAAGGCACCTTGAGGGTCAGGGACAGGCTGTAGCTGCCCACTCCCTGGATTGTTGGTGGTGACAGTTGATAATTCCCTTTCTCTACCCATCAGGGACTCCCCCATTCCCCACCACCTTCCAGAGGTGACCAAGAGGACCTTGGCACTTTGGGTGCCACCCTCAGACATCCATCCCGAATTCCCATCCTGCTGATCTCTGGTACATCTGTGCATTCCCACACACGGCGTGGGCCATTCCTGCCATCGGAGGGGGCTCTCCTCTAAACCCTGCCCCTTTCCCTGCACTTCTGTGTCCTTTGGAGCAGGACCCCCTCCCTGGTGCAGTGGGACCCCCTTTCCAGTGCCCTGAATCTGCTGCAGTGGCTCTGCCAGGGGAATGATGCGGGATAACCCCAGCCTAGCTGCGGGTTTGTGGGGTGACAGGGCTCCCCCTTGCCCCCCAGCTACACCCTGGAGTGCAACTACAACACGGGGCGCTCGGTGAACAGCATCCCGGGGGCCTGCCATGACAA